TAGGGTTTAGGGTTTAGGGTTTAGGGTTTAGGGTTTAGGGTTTAGGGTTTCGGGCGGGATCCCCCTTGTACTAACTGTCCCTAATAGGGATGGTTCGGAGGTACGAGAATCCCTATTGAGCACTGTTAGTATAAGGGGGAACATCCCAATCAACAGAAAAGTTCAGAAGCAAGCTCGGGCACGACACCAGACCCGCGCCAAGTGCAACAAGGCCAAAACAATAGAAGAGACCATCCAACGCAAAAACGAATGACATCAAGGAATCAGAAACTCACGTCCCTTGCATCGCCAAGCTACGACCATATCTTATTGCTTTTGCTGTTCCATTGTGAATACAGAATGCCTGCTTTCTTTTTTTTTTTTTGGGGGGGGGGGGGGGGGGAGGGGAACCTGAGCAATCACATATGCACTCCTGATGAGACTTGCCTCTCTTCATCCAATCGCACCCAAGACAAACGTAAACATACATCTTTGAAGAATGCAAGTCTTTAAAAAGTGATCGACATCCGCTGTTTGAGGCGTTATCATGTTTGTCCAAAGGGTCGTTGCTAGTATCGATTGCTCGACATAAACAAGCCAAGAGGGGCAGGCCGAATCCGAACGACGCTGCGCTGCCTAGGTACCTTCACTTCTCCTGACCTTGCACCGAAACCAAGAATGTTTGATGAACGATTCTCCAAAGCGACTTGAATTGCCAGGAGCCCCCCCCCCCCTGTGCCTTGGACACTTAACGTCTATTCTGCGCGTGCTCTTTTTGTCTTGGATTCTTCCCGCAAACCTCTCTGGGCCATGAATGGATGTCTGACGGACGAGTTCGGAGGAGGGGGGGAGCGTGACATTCGGTTGACGGGCAGGGGAGTGGGGGACACGCGCACCGCGCCCTCCGCGCCCTCAACGCCCTCCGCGCCCTCCGCGCCCTCCGCGCCCTGCGCGCCCTGCGCGCCCTGCGCGCCCTCCGCGCCCTGCGCGCCCTCCGCGGAGGCCTCCGCGCCCTCCGTGCCCTCCGCGCCCTCCGCGCCCTTGTCCAGGACACAGTGTGCTGATGCTACTCCGCGCCCTTGTCCAGGACACAGTGTGCTGATGCTAAGGGTGCATTGCGTCTGTTCTGCGGGTGCGTTGCGTCTATTCTGTGGGTGTTTCCTTTGTAAAGTATTTGTTTACAAGGCACGCACGTGCAGCATAGCCTTTAAGTGTCCATCTTACGCCCCCCCCCCCCCCCCCCAAAGGAAGAGGAGGGAACAATACGTCGACCAAGGCACGGCTCGCATATAGTGTCGGGAACACTACAAAAAAAACACACATGTGAATACGTTGCATGTCTTTGGAGTCATCACGTAACCTTATAATTTTCATCCTATTATAACACTGGCTTTCAATCAGCTTCTTATGGATTAATGCGTCTCTTGTAAAATCAGATGCAGAGGTGTAGTTCATGACGCAAAACAAGAAGCTTTCTTTGATATCACTCTGCAACGATCATCAATGCCCCATGACAAACTGCAGTTTCATCAGTAACAATTCTAGCATTTCCAAACAAGGAATACCATACAGCGCTTAGAATCATTCAAGCGTCTGGAGCCTGTAAACCAAACTTGGCCAAGCCTTTCCTCTCCTAAAAAAGGCAGAGGAGTTGCGGGGGGGGGGGGGGCCAGCCCCGCCCCCATCTGAGTCCTATAAACAAAACAAACGAAAACCCTCAACTTTGCGCGGGTGCCATGTCTTGCACCGTTCTGAACCCTAAAACCAGCGGTGCTAAGGGATTTGAGCACAAAGGTGAGCAAAGCATCTCGGGTCTTAGCCTCCAATTTGCAAATTCGAGGTCGAAAATTGCCTGCTTGCACAGCTCACCCGTGCCTCCAAAACCTCGCGCCTGCGCAGTCCAAACCATGTTCGGGAGCTCCAAAGCCCTAGGGGCGCAGGCAAACCACTGCCTCTTACCGAAAAGTGGCCGCAATGCTTTCGGGTACACAAGCATGCCAACCCCATCGGTAACAGCAGCTAGGTTTGGCTTGGAGATGTCGGATAGGGTGTCAAGTGTCAAGAAACCCAGGAGAATTCGATGACGCATCAGCGACATCCGTGCAAAAGTGTCCTGGTATTCAAGCGGCCGTTCAGACATCACCTCGACGTTGTCCTGACAAGTGAGGTTCACGCCTTTAGATCTCTTAGCTCTTTGCTGCCAAGTCGGTCGGTCCTCCAGGGAGGCACGGACGTAAAGCCATGATATCTGGCAGTCGCTTGTCCCGACCTCCACATAACAAGCTTGCTACACGCACCGTGCACGGCACTGTGCACTCTTGAGGCACCAAGCAAATATGCAGAATAGCAGCCGAATGTCCGGAACAACAAGAAAGTAGCGCTCGCGACCTCCAGGGCAGGCTCTCCAACCGCCTCAAGCCTGGCAGAACAGACACACGGTGTGTCCAGCACAGTGGGAATTCGAGGCAGTTTAGGTGTTTTTGTTGCATCTTCAACCCAGAGTCCCCCTGGTGCTGAAGGAGCCCAGCGTATAAGAACAACTCGCACGAAGAAACGCTCAACAACCTTCAGAGAATGCCATGCCCTTGGTGTGTTCCCGTTTGCGGTTCCCTTTGTTGTCATGGCGCAAGAAGCAGAAAGCTTGCAAGACTGATTCTGACCATTAGTATGGTTATGATGATTAAGATGAGGAGTCTTAGTATGACATGTACATGTATATACACATGTATATATGTTTATATTGTGACTCTCCAGATGCTGATGGCCATTCTTATATTCTAGCTGGGATGATCATCATACTATGGGCTTGCACTTCAAGCGAATGCCAGCAGCTCAACTCTCCACTGTCCAGGTCTTGCACGACTTCGTCGGAGCCCTCCTGCCCGCAAACGTGTTGTCACTGGTCGCTTGGCTCAGGTGTAGTCAGGGGCCTAACCCCTAAACCCTAACCCTGAAACCCTAGACCCTAAAACCTAAACCCCAAACCCAAAACGGCCCTAAACCACCCCCGAGCAGAATCTTTAGCTCCCAAGGGCGTGCAGGAATCTTGGAGGGAAACTGAGGTCGTTGATATGAACAGCTTCAGAAGAGCAACTGCTTTGGCATTGCTTAGCACTGCGCAGAGAAGAAGTTGTTGGCACCTTGGTGCCTCCAGAGCCTCACCCGTGACCCGAACTGAGCCAGAATCCTCAAGCAACCTCAATTTTGAAGCCCCCCCACGCCAGGCTAATCGGCACACGTGCGGCGGCCTTTGTCACGCAAATATCTCTCGAGACCAGCGGTCAAGATTTAAGCTTAGAGTCGGGTCACCGTGCCGAGGGGGCAGGCATGAAGTTGAAGGTCGGGGGTTGTTCATCGTCTACATCCTGAGAAACCTAGAGTGCACAAGCTTGTGTGTACACCATCCTGCCAGTCTCCGTTTTGGAAACTCGCTGTTGAATTCAGATGCCTGTTCGCCTGCCAAAGCAGCGGCTCGCCCTTCTCGTGCAAGGACCCGGCCAAATTTTGGGCAGTTCAGTTGCCCTGGATCTGCCTGATATTTTTCTGTCCTAAGACAGAGATACATACATTGCAAACTGCAGTACGCATACACATAAAACATGAGTAACATAAGCATATTGTAAACACTGTACATATGTACGTCCGTATGTGCGAATGTAATGCATGGCATGTGGTGTAATGCCACGTAATCCTGCGAAGCAGGGCAATGCGATGCAATGCAATGCAATGCAACGGTGGGACGGTTTGTCATGCAGCGGCAGCGTGTGTATGCTGTTGTATGCACGCGTGTTGTATATGGCGTAAGTGCGTGAGTGCGTGTGCACACAAGTATTTCCTATCATCTAGAAAGAGAAGCCCAGCATTCAATTGGCAGGGGACGACATTAGGTTCTAGGCTAGGGTCGATCGTTTTCTCGACCCCGCTACCGCAAATTCATCACAGCTATCCCAGAAGCTCCACGTCAGCGAGGATGGGGTAGTGATCCGAACCACCTGCACAGCGGAGGATTTGGAAAATTCGGCACATGAGGTGATGTCTGGCGAAATGTTGGAAGAGCCTTCCCCTGCGAGCGGCGTCTTCTTGAACACCCTAAATTCCCCAAACCCCTGCGTAAGCAGTGGGCGTGCTCGTCGTTGCCCACACAGGCATGATCTGTGTTGCCCACGAACACGCATTGTCTGTGGGTGTGTCCTCATTTGCAACTTGTGGTTCCCCTATCTTGCAGATCCTCAACAGCAGTTTTGCCTATATTACACAGTATATCCAGTATGATATGAACAAAAAAGATAAGTACTATATATATATATATGTATCTATATATATATATATATATATATATATGCATGCATACACACACACATACACACATACATACATACATACATACATACATACATACATACATACATACATACATACATACATACATACATACATACATACATACACACACACAGAGACATACATACATACATACATACATACATACATACATACATACATACATACATACATACATACATACATACATACATACATACATACATACATACATACATACATACATACACACATACACACATACACACATACTCACATACACACATACACACATACACACATACATACATGCATGCATGCATACATACATACATACACAGATATACACAGATATACACATATGTACACATATATACATGAGCCTTCAGATTTCAGATAGCACAGGTGTGGGACTTGCTCGGGAGTTGCCTGGCCTGGCGGGCCAGGATTGCGCCAGATCCAGGACTGGATCGTGCGGAAGCCTTCGGGGAGCGCAACAAAAAAACACAAGGGCACCAAAAGAATTAGAGAAGGAACTTTAGCACCATTTACTCCAGCCCACACGGAGTTCTATTCGTAGAGTCTACTTCTTCCAACGAACTTTGGAGGAACGACTGCTAAGTGGACTGTGGCTACAATATATCCCGCTGACCCCCAGTCACGCGAACGAAGCGGGCCTAAACTATATATATATATATATATCATTCGCAAGTCGAGCCCAGCTTCAATGGTTCAAAACCCTGAGGACACAGGCCTTGCTGGATGGGCTGCGGCCTCGCCTCTCCCCTGGCGAAGGAATTGCATTGCCGGCCCAGTCTACACGAACCAATTTTGCCACAGCTTAACTTGGACTCAAGAAAGCGGCCTCATATAGAATCTAATATAGAATGCCCAGCATTTTGGAAATCCATGCAAGACCTGAAACCTTTCCAACCCCAAGCGGCCTCTCCAGGAAGATGTAGTCCAATCTGGCGCCGCTGTTGTGCGTGGTGGCATCGACGCGCGCGGAGTTGACGTCTCGGAACGCATCGCGAAACTGGAAGTCAATCCTTAGGGCTTTGCAGATCTCTGCAGTTTTACCTTCTGCCTCCACAGGTCAAGAATAAGTTTACAGAACTAGATCAATACAAAAAATGAACATATACACATATGCATATATATGTGTATGCATATCGTGCAGGCAGGGAGGTTCTGCTCAAAGTCTCTGAGTTCGTGCTCCACGCTTGGCGCATCTGAGAGAGGCAGCAAACTTCCCGTCATTCTTGTCAAATAAGGGCTACTAGTCATTTGAGGCAGCAAACTTCCCGTCATTCTTGTCAAATAAGGGCTACTAGTCATTTGTTCTGGGGCACAAAGAAGTAGGTTTTGAACTAGAATGAGTCAGCTGTTCCAACCTGACATCATGGACACCCTATACCCTAACCCTAAACCCTAAACCCTAAACCCTAAACCCATGAACCCTGAACCATAAAACCTAATTGCAAGAATCAGAAAGCCTGCCAGCTCCCAGATAGAGAAGCGGACTTGGACGTCACAGTCAAGTTCAAGCAAGGTTTGGTGGTTTGGCCCTGCAAGCCTTGGAAAGATATTCCTAAATCTCTGATTCTAGTCCTCTTGAACTGAATAAGCGAAAATCCATATTGAAACATCCCGAACGTTTTACTGCAATAACGCGGTCACTTAGAGTCGAGGACCAAGTTGATCTGTATGAGGCAAAGACTTCGGATGCTTCAGGGAGCTTCTGGGGATGTTTGGAAACAATGCATCTTGAAGTAAAAGTGTAGCCGTCCAATAACCTTCCTTCCCCTCCCCGCGAAGAAGGAATGCGGATGTGATGCCAGGTTGCAATTCGAAACTCTCAGTACAACAACCCTAAACCCAAAAGCCACCGAATTGTCCCCAAACAAACCTTTCCAGGATTCCATGCATTAGCCTCATGACCGTCATGGGCCGGGCGTCTTGTAGGTCCGGCCTTTTTCCGTCACCTCCTCGCCAAGGTAAAGCCTGAGCACATCTTGCTTGAACAGGTTGACAGCACCTCCTGATGCCGCCAAAACCCGGCAACAAAGCTATCGAAACTCCGCGCCTCAAGCGGCGTCAGATGTGGGGGGAAGGGGGGGCGGGGGGGCGGGGGGGGGGGGGCGCCTTGCAGGAGCAGCGCATTCATGGGTTTGGTGGAACTTCCTGTCAAAACGTGTATCCCTCCGTATTCCTGTTGTGATCAACACCTCCCCCACATCCCCCTCCACCCTTCCCACCCTCTCCACGAGCCCTCCTCAGCCGAAAGCACCGATCTTGCGCAGAATTTGGGCGTAGAAGCTGCTTGAACACTCTACAAACCCTAAACCCTAAAACCTAAACCCTAAACCCCTGCACTCTGATGCCCTCTGGTCTCCCCTTTATAACAATGTCTTTGCATGAATGACACCGCCATCCCTCCCCCGTGCTTGCAGCGCTGTGATCGAGCCGCCGGGTGGACTTCCAGTCCTCCAAAGCATTGAAGTCCTGGAGCTGGACAGGGGGTTTAGTAATTTAGGGTTTAGGGTTTATAGGGCTTCAGGAACTTCAGGTGGAGGATTGGCAAGCCAAATATGCTAGTGAAGGATGCCCCCAGAACCTTCTGAAGCCTTGTTCCCGTTGCAGGGCAGGAAGGCTTTAGCCAAACATGGCTCTCAGTGGTGGGAGAGCCAGTTTTGGTTTCTTGGCAAACTTCGCATCCTGAAAACAATTACTGTATGCACGCTGTCTGGGTTACAAGTTCTTCAGCGTCGCACTTGAGTCACTTGTAAACTCATTTGGGGGTTTACGAAAATCGCGGACCCGCAATATAGATCCCCGTACTAGGATCCCCTTATATTGACGACCCCAAAAAGGTACCCCCTATGTCGGAACCCCCCATTTTTGGGCTTGAGAGCTTCAGGAAGATCCAGTGCTTACCAAGACACGCCCATGTACACGATGGCCGCGTCTGGAAACTCGGCAACCTCGGTTTGTTGCACGCAGGAGCGGCCGCCCTGTTTTCCTGAGCATTGCTCAGCGCTTTGCCTAGTTACAGGGGAAGTGCATCCCTGCGGAATCGCAAGATACCTTCTCATGCAAAACATGTCGAGGGCGAAAGATCGGAATAGGTCCAGAGTCCAAGGAGAACAGCCGTGGTCCTTCAAAATACCCACGGCCCTTACATCAGCGCAGCATATCAAAGTTTGGGATGCCTGCCAGAACAGCCACGACAAATTCCTAAGCAATTTGGCACATGCAGCTTCGAGCGTGTTTACTATGCCGATGATATATGGGCTATGCTATGGCCTCTCTAAGAATCAAAGACTCCGTCGAACCAGATGGTGCCTCCCAAAGCCTCCCGATTGATGGCTGTGCCGACTGTTCTGGCCCAGCGAAGCAGACCAGCCCGCAACTAACTAACCGTGGCGCCGTGAGCCATACTGTTGCTTCGGCTGGCTCATGCTTCGCAGTGTCTCTTGTGTATGAGAACGAACCCAGAAACTCCCAACCGTCCCAATCCCGAGGCTTCTGAAAAGAAATCGCAAAAGGGCTGGAAGCCTGACTCCAATTCCAGGGCAAGAGGTACCAGTTCCCGCGCGTGCTCCGCAAAGTCCAGCGCATTCTGCAGATGGATGGGCTCATTCCCGCAGCACACCGGGTGCGCGCCATAGATCAAGACCTCCGGAGCCCGCATAACAGGCTTGCCTTACGTTTCCTGATAACTAGGATGGCCCTCAAAACCCTCTGAAAAAGATTCCTGAGTATGATCCGCTTGAACCCAATAAGGGGAAACCTACCTAGAAAAGATAGTGCCACCCCAAAGAGGGGAAAACCTCTCGAACCTCGAGACAGAAAAAGAAGCCTAGGCCTGCCACAAAAACCCGCCACACAAAGTGTGCGGACGCACGCAGGTTGCTGATGGAGGGATAAGGTTTAGGGTTTAGGGATATAGGTTTAGGGATGTTGCCGATGGTTTTTCGCAGACTCTTGGAGACTGCAACGTAGATGCTGCAACCGCCACAGCTGAATTTCGGGAAGGGCGCATCTGAAGATTTCAACATGCCTTCCTGCGTTCTTCCCTAGAATAATACAGTGCATTCGCGGCCTTCTTGCCGGAGTCGCGATGTTTCCTAGGCTGCGCGGAGGCGTTTCAAGTCATAAAACTGAGCTCCCACAAAATGTTCGGCTTCGACGAAAGGACGCCACATTCCAACTGCTGAACGCAACTCCAGGCCCATTCAAGACCTGCATGCTGCAAGAACTGTGCCCTGCCCATTTACAACGCCGGAGAAAAGCTGGTCCAGAGCCGGGCATCAGCACGGCCCAGCTCAGCCCCCGGTTGGCCCCCCAGTCCATGACAGAGTCCTTCCTCAGTTTTTTCTTTGGGGAGACGTCGAAGGGCCTCACGGGTTTAGGTTGGTTCGAAGTCCCGATAGGGGGTTTAGGGTTTCATTCGAAGCCCCGTCTCAGAAGCTCTGAGTTCGGTGTCTGGGACAGGCTTTTCCAAAAGTATGTCAAACAGTGATTGGTAGGAGCCTTTCGGATCCGAGGATTCGAAGTCTGGTGTTCGATCGCAACAGCCCCCTTCCCGAGTTGAACTGTGAAAGAACTGTTGTGAGGTTCGTGGCGTACAAGGAGGAACAGAAGCACTCCCATGCGAGACACACTGCTGCGCCTCCCAAACTTCCAAACTTGAGCGTCACGAAAGAACCATATCCACCACCGGCGGAGCTGCTATTATGATAAATGCGGTGAGGAGCGAATACCCTCGCGGACTCGAAATGTAGGGACGATGATAACCTACTGCCACCACTATAGGCCACATATCGCTGAACCTGTAGGACCCAATTTACCCCCCCCCCCCCCCCAAATTTCCCGGACATGTTAGTGCCGGCCCTGGCGTCACCACTTCAAAGAGGTCGGCTCTGTAGAGGATGTCACCATCCCACCACTTCTCCTCAACAGGGTTTAGGGTGTGGGGTGTATACATATACATACATATATATACATACATATATATATATAGAATATATATATATATATGTAGGGTTCAGGGTTTAGCTCGTAATGAAAACCGCTCCGAAGACTCGTGGGAGGGGCATTGGACGGGCGAGCCACAACACGCTTCACCTGAGAGGCAAACCCTCCTGGTCACTGGCATCAGATCTGTCCTGGGGGCCTCCCAGGCAGAAGGCGTAGTACTTGTTGGACTTCTGCCTGAGCTTCCTGACGCCCACCGCCCACTTCGCGCGCTCTGCAACCCAGAAAAACACAAAACACAGTCGGCCGTGACACGTCTTATCGAGTTTCGGACCTTGACGATAGAAGCGCGGCAATCCAAGGGATAGACCAAATGGCTGTCGGGGTTGTCGTAAAGTTCTTGCGTACAGTGTACAGCATGTTTTGAAAGCGCAAGATGAGGCCTCCAGACTTCACGCTCAACCGACTCTACAACTGCAGGACGATTTTGCAGGTGCAGGAGTTGAAGGCCTTGTCCGCCTTTGGGTGCGGTTTGCCGGGGTTTAGAGGGATGCGAACCATCAAACGTCGAGCTTCTCGAGGATTGTCGGCTTCTCCTTCCACTGCTCCTCAGATCTTTGCTCTGCCATGCCAGGGCACAAGAAGCTCAGGTTCGCAATGCTTACAAGTACATCCGTAGTAATTAGATGTGCAGACTGGGCTTCAGCCAAGTCTCAGTGATAACGGCGATGTCGGGCGTCATGTCGGCAATTGCCTACGGGCCATCATGCCAAAAGGGGGTTTCCGAAATTAGGGGTACCTTTGTGGGGTCCTTGTGATAAGGGGATCCTACCAGTTGGGGACCTATATCGGGGTTTTCGTAAACCCCCAAGAGTCTCTGCACAAGTGCGGGATGGGGTGTTCATCACTGAAAAGGTCAGGTTCTTTGTATGCAGCATTGGAGCATCTCGGAGGCCCCATTACCCTGAAAACCCTAGATTACCCTTAGTTTGCCTTCCAGTGGGCGCGCCCCGGAGGCTTCTTATCAGGCTTCGGTTCAGGCTTGGACTTGCAGCTGTGGACCTCCAATGCCACCACATGACTTTCGGAGCTGGGCTAGCACGATGCGAGCTGCTTGGAGTGGTGCTTTCTCTGGCCTGCGCGATGCCGTCCATGCGGTCCTCACGGCCCAAGGCGGCGTAGTACACGTTGAAGGCCATCAGGCCTGGGAGCTTCGAACGGAAGAGTCCGCAAGTTTCAGCAGTTATAAAGCCTAAAGCATCCATGCAGCGACTGGTCTTTCAGAAGGATCCAGGCGGGAGTCAACACCCCCCGTGGGTGGGAGGCATCGTCTAGTCGTTGTTAAGGTTGGCGCAAGTACAAAGATTCAGTTGTGCAGCCATGACATTGCTGTGCGCCTTTGCGTTGTTCACGAGATGTGCTCAACAGTGAGATTCTACAGTCCTATATGCCGAACGCTTCAGAGACACACGGAATGATGCCTACAACCATGTGAGGACATTTAGAACCTGGGGGCCGATCCGCTGACAGGTGACAGGGTCTATATGAAGTTGCAGCATCGCGCAACTGGTCTTCACTGCAAATACAGCCCTCAAAGAATCCATGACGTCAAAGCCTCTGAGTCGGGTTACGCGCGCAAACGGCACCAGCAGGACAAGCTGTCACCACCTCAGGGCTCTCGGAGACGCTCCAGTGGGAATTGCTCGCATGAGAAGGCGCATGAAGGCGCAGTGCCCCTGCTGCTGGAGCACCCTTGCGGCTTTTGCCGTGTCTCTGTGCTTTTTTCCGTGGCTGTTTCGTTGTAATGTCAAAATCCTACAAGCAACAACTACACTCTAGTAACAGTAGTAATAGCAGTATAACAGAAACGATAACCGTAATCGTCATCATCGAAATATTGAAGCCCTAGTTGATCAGTACCCTGGGCCAGAAAAAAAGGTTAACCTTTCAACTATGGTAGGATTATATATACCCCAGAAGGTTAAAGGTTACCTACTCATCTACTAAGAAATGATGTTTTGGGATGTTCCCCCGTATACTAGCAGTCCTGAATAGGGATTACAGTACCCCCGATTACAATCCCCATTAAGGCCTTCTAGAATAAGGGGGAACATCTATCTAAACCCTAAACATGGTATCCATTGAGGCGAGTTGCCGAAGGTGCCGGGGGAGGCGCCGGGGTCGGCTCCGGAGTCGTGGTTGTTGTCGTGGCCGTCCTCGCTGTTTTGTGGCACTCCGAGGGAATCCGAAATTGTACTAGTAAGGGTTTAGGGTTCAGGGTGTGGCGTTTAGGGTTTCGGAGTTCGAGTTGAGGGTTGAGGGTTTAGAGTGCGGCGTGCAATACATTAAAGGGTACTGCTGCGACTAGTAACCGATGTTCCATCTTGGTGCAAGCGTTCTTGTCAAGCTGTTCTTTGTTTCTTTGGACAGAAGTTGAAGGGAAGCCTGCAACTATTCCTGCGCTGGGGATCATTGCCAGAATATTGATCAGAGGACTTTACCATTTTGTCAATCCAAGGACCCTTTGACATTTTGGGAGAGGACGAGTGAATAATCCTCTTTTGGGCATTGGAGGAACTTTGTGGGCCGTCTGCTCCTCCAGCCCACAGGAGGCTCGTCGGAGCAGTAGCGAAACTCCCATAGCCTTGGCTGTGTCAGTCTTTTGGGTTCGGCAGGATCGGTTTTCTTCGTGGCCGCTTCTCGGATTTGGGCTCCAGCGCCTGCTCGGGCTGAGCCCAATACTTCGAGAATGGGAAGAGCGATTTCGTGGCCATCAGTCAAGCGACAATAGGTTGACTTTTGGCAGTTGCCCTCGTCGAACAGTAGATTCTCCCACAGAAGCCCGGAACATAAAGTCCACAGCAAACCCTAACATCTTCTACACAAACGCCTGAGACCACACACCCTATAAACCCTACAGAAACCTTAAACCCCTAAACCCTAAACTTCCCTAAGCCTCCCTAAACTTCTCCGAGCCTCAAGCTCCCTGCAGAGACCGAGAAGCGGCTTGCCGTGGCCTCCCGAGCGGCAGCCCGGGACGAAACCATCCCAGCCTTGTGATGTCGTTTTCACATTGTTATATATATATATATCTATATGTATGTAATGTTGAAAAATGTAGGTTATATAAAAATGCGCTACATATTAATATGTATATATATATATAATGCACCAGATAAATGATAATGGAAAATAGAAGAAGATACATAATTACAACATCTGATCTGCAAGAAATAGTGCATAGACAAAAACTACAACATATTGTCATAAAAAGCATACTAGTTTGTGCCAGCTTTCAGCCGAGTCCGTAGGAAGTGACACGATTCTTGGCTGATGTGGCTTTGGAGGCTACGGTTAGTTTCAACTTGTTTGGCTTCTTCTTCTCTTCTTATTATTCTTCTTCTTCGTCTGCTTCTTCTTCTTCTCCTGCTGCAATCGCGGTGGCGATGGTGAGGTGGTGGTCGTAGCTGTGACTGTGATTTTGGGCGTTCATGCTGCTCTTGACAACCCGATACAACATCATAAACGTGCTCGGGCCCAATTGCCTTGGCGACTTGACCAGACAATTCAAAGGCCGAGGCTTCACTCCTACCAGTCCTACCCTCTGACCACTCGAATCCAACAAAGAAATATATATATATACACATATACATATATATATGTGTGTGTATGTGTATATATATATATATGGTCACCCCCCCCCCCCCCCCCCCTCGACAGACCCCGGAAGTATATTTCCGGTCTGTTCAGGAAGGGGGGGGGGGAAAGCACCACTCCAAAATTCCTCGAGTTTCCAAAAATCCAAAAATCCAAAAAATCCAACCCAGGGTTCCGCTCTTTGGAAACTGGAGCGGGAGCCTCAAAATCCTAAAACCGAGCAAATTCCTCGAGTTTCCAAAATGCCAAAATTCCAAAAAAATCCACCCCAGGGTTTGGATTTTTGGAAACTCGAGGAATTTCCTCAAAATCCAAAAATCGAGCAAATTCCTCGAGTTTCCAAAATTCCAAAAATCCAAAAAAACCCACCCCAAGGTTTGGGTTTTTGGAAACTCGAGCGGGAGCCTCAAAATCCAAAAATCGAGCAAATTCCTCGAGTTTATAAATGCCAAAAATCCAAAAAAACCCACCCCAAGGTTTGGATTTTTGGAAACTCGAGGAATTTCCTCAAAATCCAAAAATCAAGCAAATTCCTCGAGTTTCCAAAATTCCCAACCTTGGGGTGGATTTTTTTGGATTTTTGGAATTTTGGAAACTCGAGGAATTTGCTCGATTTTTGGATTTTGAGGAAATTCCTCGAGTTTCCAAAATTCCAAAATTCCAAAAATTCCAACCCAAGTTTCGGATATTTGGAAACTCGAGCGGGGGCCTCAAAATGGAAAAAATCGAGCAAATTCCTCGAGTTTCCAAAATTCCAAACCTTGGGTTGACTTTTTTTGGATTTTTGGAATTTTGGAAACTCGAGGAGTTTTTGGCTCGATTTTTGGATTTTGAGGAAATTCCTCGAGTTTCCAAAAAAATTCCAAAAACTCCAACCCAAGTTTCGGATTTTTGGAAACTCGAGCGGGAGCCTCAAAATCCAAAAATCGGGCAAGTTCCTCGAGTTTCCAAAACTCCAAACCTTGGGGTGGGTTTTTTTGGATTTTTGGAATTTTGGAAACTCGAAGAATTTGCTCGATTTCTGGATTTTGAGGCTCCCGCTCGAGTTTCCAAAAATCCAAACCTTTGGGGTGAATGTTTGGATGTTTGGATTTTTGGATTTTTAGAAACTGGATTTTTGATAAGAGTTTTTCAGGGGTTCTTATATGATTCCTTATTATGTTTTAGGCTGCCTATTAAATTTAATAATACTCCTGTTCACTTTAATGGGAGTCCTTATTTAATTAATAAGACTCCTAATCAATTACTAGCATTCTAAGTGATCTTCAATGGGATTCCTGTATTTGTTTAATGGGGTTCGTATTTGATTTTAAAGGATGCCTATTAAAGGACTTTATTGGGTTTAATATTGATTCCTATTCATTTTAATCAAATGCCAAATAATTGGAATACGATTCTGAGTAATTGTAATAGCATTCTTCTTCCTAGTTAGTTTTAATAAAAGTCTTAGAATTTAATAAGCTTCATTACCAATTTCATACATATTCCTATTAATTTCAATGGGCTTCTTATTCATTTTCATAAGATGTCTTACAATTTCTAATTGGGTTCCTTTTGCTTTGACAAGCTTCCTATTCATTTAAAAAGGCTTCTGATTAATTGGAATAGGCTTCGTATTCATTTTAACAGGAATTCTCATTCATGTTGACAGGATTCCTAATAATGTTCATAGGATTCCTACTAGATTCCACAGTGCTCCGATTATGTTTTTAAATCCTGTTCCCTATTCATTTCAATTGGACTCGAAGTAATGTTATTGTAACTCTTATTTGTTTTATTAGCAATCCTATTAATTAAATGTTTTCATAGGGTTCATTATAATTCTAACAGTACGACTCTTATCGTTCTAAGTTTTGAAGGGCCCACATTATTTTTTTATAGAATTTTATTGGCTCCTCTTAATCCTTTAAAGGATTCATCTTCATGTTAAACGGATTCCTGTTACTCTTAAAAAGAATTCATAGATTCTTTTGTAGGGTTCCTATTAATTTTAGTAGCATTCCTATGAATTCAAAAGGGTTCCTATTCATTTGAATGGCGTTCCTATGGTTCCTCTGAATTTAGGACGCCAAGAAATTTTAATAGGAGCTTCTACGATTTCAACCAGGTTCTTATTAATTGTACTAGGATTCTTACTAAGCTTTCAAAAAAGACTCGTCTTAATTTCAATAGGGTTATCATTCATTTTAATGGGGTTCCTATTGATTTAAATAGGATTCCTATTGAACTCATACGAAGCCTATGAGTCCTAATAAACTTAATAGGAACCCAAGTAAAACTAAGAGCAATCTTTGTTAAAATGAATAGCAATCCACGATGTCGAACAAATTGTTCAGGTCCTTACAGCACGCGTCCTTCTCACATCTGTCTGCATCTTTCATTGCGAACACAAAACCGTACTAATCGAAAAAAAAACTGCTCTATTGTGTGTTCACGTGTCTGGCTACTGTGTGCAGCTATGCTGTCCGTCGCGCCCTCAGCCCTTTTTTTGCTTCCGGGGTCTGTCGAGGGGGGGGGGGTGAGCATATATATATAATAGGGA